GGTCAGTTAGAAATGTTATATTGTCCACATTTGGAAGATTCCAGCTTCCAAAATGTGACTTACTCCAGGTATTTGGGATTAAAAATCCCATTCATCACAGCTAACATGGCCAAAAATCAGGGACAATAGCAGCTGCAATACAGGATTTTTCAAGGTGCTAAGGTAAGGGAAAGTTGGTATGCTGGGCATTATACTACTCTGTCATCTCACTTCTCCATTAATGAGTTTCTATTTTAATAGAATCTCATGTTCAAAGGTCTCTTTTAGATTTAGCTGTTATTTTATTAATGTCTTAATTCCATACAGTTCCTTTTTCTGCAACTTACTTATGACAGTCTGAACCATCAATAACATCTGGATAGACTGTCATTACACTTGTTTTATTTATTATTTATTTACTTCATTTTTACCCCACCTTTCTTACTCCACAGGGGACTCAAGGTGGCTTACAAACTCAATGCCGCATGGACATAACAATAAAACATACCCCATCAAATTATAAAATAGTTAAAACATACAAACAATTAAAACACATAAACAATAAAATAGATACATAAAGTGCCAAACCTTGATCTCATACTTATCCATAGTCATTTTCCAAAATCCATAGTCATTATTCAAGCTGTTGAAGTCTAATTCCGTAATATCCTATTTGCCAAACGCCTGTGTACAAAGCCAGGTCATAAGCTTTTTTCCAGGAGGAATGGGGCCTGCCTGATGTCACTAGGGAGGAAGTTCCACAGCTGAGGGGCCACCACTGAGAAGGCTTTGTCCCTCGTCCCCGCCAATCGTGCTTGCGAAGAGGGTAGGGCCAAAAGCAGGGCCTCTCCAGCTCTTGTTGGCTCATAAAGGGAAATGCTTTTGGATAGGTACGTTGGGCCAGAACTGTTTAGGGCTTTATAGGCCAAAGCCAGCACTTTGAATTGAGCCCGGGAGCAAACTGGCAGCCAGTGGAACTGACATAACAGGGCAGTTGTATGCTCCCTGTATACAACTACTACCATCTTTTGTGGAAGTTGTTACCAGAAGTTAGTTGTTACCAGAAGGCTGGATTCTTTTAATATATGTGTGTTATGGCAACAATTTTATGCTTATATTTTGTTTTGTTAATCTTATGGTTATGTTGTTTTTTACTTTGTATGTTTTGTGATGTTACCTGGGAACCACTCTGAGTCCCCTCGGGGAGATGGAGCGGTATATAAATAAAGTGTTATTATTATTATTAATACATTATGAACTCATTTATTTGATGTCTATCTTTCCTTTCTCATAATATAAATCACATAGCAGCCACTGTCTTGGCAGTCTTCAAAACACATTATTCAGAAACAAAAGTATACTTCTATCTATGTGTATGATGTCAGGAGTGACTGGAATTTTATTCACCCAGTGAAATTCTACCTTCCTCTTCCTATAGCCCAGGCATGAGAAAACTTCGGTCCTCCAGGTGTTTTGGACTTCAACTCCCATAATTCCAAGCAGCCTACTGGCTGTTAGGAATTGTAGAAGCTGAAGTCCAAAACACCTGGAGGGCCAAAGTCTGCCCATGCCTGCTATAGTTTCTGCTTTTTCTATTTTCCCTATTTTGAAAGTGTGGGAAGACAGAGAGAAGGAAAGCCATCCTTCCCCTTTCACTATGAGAAGCTCTTCCATGCACAGCAGAGGCTACTTAGAGCCCATCAGTTTCAAAGCCACTGCCACATGGTCAAGTTTTAACAACATTTTTTCACTGAGGAAAACTATTTAATCTATTTTCATCCCTGTCTAAACATGAATACAGTCTTGCCCAATAGTTGTACCAGACCCAACTACATGACTTGCAACAATAAACTGCCCAAAACAAAGAGACACACAAAACTCAATTTCCACACAACATTATTAAGCGAAGTGTAATGACACAGAAAAGTAGGAAGTACAGTATTATAATACGATGTGTCTCTCAATATTATGGCGCACTATTATCGAGAGCTTCGCCAAAGAAAGTACAGGCAGTCCCCCAGTTACAAATGTTCGACTTACTTCTGACTCCTAGTTACAAACAAGGGTGATACAACAGAAATTAGGTGGGAATCTACCCCTCAGAAGGGAAAGCCACTCATGTAAGAGTTATCATGGGGGAAAGGTGTATCCACTGAAGCTTTATCACCAATCCTTATTTCCACGACAACCCAATACAGCCTGGAAAACTCACTGCAACCCAGTGATTTCGGCCATGAAAGCCTTTAACAACAAGTAAAGGTAAAGGTTTCCCCTTGACATTAAGTCTAGACATGTCCAGCTCTGGGGAGTGGTGCTCATCTCCATTTCTAAGCTGAAGAGCTGGTGTTGTCTGTAGACACCTCCAAGGTCATGCGGCCAGCATGACTGCCTGGAGCACCATTACCTTTCTGCAGAAGCACTACCTATTGATCTACTCACATTAGCATGTTTTCGAATTGCTAGGATGGCAGAAGCTGGGGATAACAGCGGGAAGTCACCCTGCTCCCCGGATTCGAACCACCAAACTTTCGGTCAGCAAGTTCAGCAGCTCAGTGGTTTAATCTGCTGCACCATCAAGGGGGCCATATACAATAGTTTCAAACAAATATTCATTATACATTATATATACATTAGTTTCCAATAAACCTCACAACCTCTGAGGATGCCTGCTATAGATGTGGGCAAAATGTCAGGAGATAATGCTTCTGAAGCATGGCCATGAAGCCCGGAAAACTCAAAGCAATGCAGTGATTCCGGCCAAAGCCTTCGACAACAAATATAATAATAATAATAATAATAACCTTTCCTTATGCTATCCAAAACTACATTTTAAAAAACAACCGAGTTACCAGTCTTGTTTGTAACCCAGAGGCTGCCTGCACAGGACAATACCGTCCCTATTACATGACTGTTGCCACAAGCATCTTGCACAAAACTTGACCTAAATCTCACTCCTTAAGACTAGTAGCAGCCCTCACTGGCAGCACAACCGACCCATCAAACTCATGGCCTTTCCCATTTCCACTCAGGGAAATAAAAAGAAAATGAAAAGAGGCGGGGGGCATACAAAACAGTGAGAGGAAGAACTTTATAAATCAAGCCAGGCCTGTGCCTGAGTGAAGTTACCAGTCTTGTTTGTAACCCAGAGGCCGCCTGCACAGGACAACACCATCCCTATTACAGTAGAGTCTTGCTTATCCAACATAATCGGGCCGGCAGAATGTTAGATAAGCAAAAATGTTGCATAATAAGGAGGGATTAAGGAAAAACCTTTTAAAAATCATTTATGGTTTTACAAATTAAGCACCAAAACATCATGCTTTACAACAAATCGAAAGAAAAAGCAGTTCAATACATGGAAAAATTGAAAGCAAAAGCAGTTCAATACATGGTATTGTTATGTAGTAATTACTGGATTTACGAATTTAGCACCAAAACATTGCAATGTATTGAAACAGCTGTGGATCCGGGCGCAAGGCAGATTGTATTGGATAATACAGAACGCTGGATGAGCAAAGGTGGCAAAAGTATGATAGCTGTGACCCAATGCCGAGATAGGGCAGCGAGTGAGAGACGCAGGTGCGACAGAGTCATGGCAAGATAGTTCGCCAGAAAAAGGGGGGGACAGAAGGGGGGGCAACAAACAGCCAAGCAAGTGCTTAAGGCTATCCGGATATCGTATGCAAACACATTCAAATACGTAACGTCTTCACTTCTCTAATTCTGACCCACGTCACAAAACTAGCATTAGTCCCGGCTATCATACTTTTGCTAGTTGGATATACGAGACTCTACTAGGTGACAGTATGATAGCTGGGTCCAGAAGCTCCGAGCATTACACACATTCTGCAACGACTGTTGTGAATAAGGAAAGGGACCACGTGAGGGTAGAAGGACAGAAAGGAGGGGAGGGTTAGGATAAGTTTTAGGAAAATGTTTAGGGAAAGGTTTAGGGTTAGGGTTTGGATCAAGTTTAAGATAAGGTAGGGTAAGCTTTAGGGTTAGGATTAGGGGTTAGGCTTAGGATAAGGTAGGATAAGGGTTTTCATTAGGGTTAGGATTAGGGGTTAGGCTTAGGATAAGGTTTAGGATAAGGTAGGGTAAGATTTAGTGTAAGCTTTAGGGTTAGGGTTTGTGGTTAGGCTTACGGTAAGGTTTAGGATAAGGTAGGGTAAGCTTTAGGGTAAGGTTTAGGGTTAGGATTTGGGGTTAGGCTTAGGGTAAGCTTTAGGATATGGTAGAGTAAGCTTTAGGATAAGCTTTAGGTTTAGGGTTTGTGTTAGAGTAAGGGTTAGAGGTTAGGCTTAGGGTAAGCTTTAGGATAAGGTAGGGTAAGCTTTAAGGTAAGCTTTAGGGTTAGGGTTTGTGTTAGATTAAGGGTTAGGCTTAGGGTATGGTTTAGGATAAGGTAGGGTAAGCTTTGAGGTTAGTGTTTGTGTTAGGGTTAGGATTAGGGTAAGATTTAGGGTTTGGGTAAGGGTTTGGGTTTTACCATTAAAGAACTCTTACATTCTTTCTATAATATCGCGTTGCGCAAACAGCTCTTCTGAAGGAGTGAAGTGGAAATACTGTCACGCTCCTAGCTTCTGGACCCAGCTATCATACTATTACCTTCTATTGTACACAAGCATCTCGCACAAAGCTTGACCTAGACCCCCCTCCTTAAGACTAGCAGCAGCCTTCGCTGACAGCACAACCGACCCATCAAACTCATGGCTTTTCCCATTTCCTTTCAGCAGCCTTCAGGGGAATCAAAAAGCAAACGAATGGGAGGTGCGGGAAGGAAAAAAAAACATACAAAGAGGCGCGAGGGAAAACTTTATAAACCAAGCCAGGCCTGTGTTGGAGTGAAGGCGCTGCTTAAAAGCATGGCTGCTTCCTCCCACAATGCAACCCGGGCCTCCATCCTCCTGGGCAATGTCAAGACCTCTCTCTGTCTCTCTCTCTCTCTCTATCTCTCCCCGCCTTGGGAATGAGGAAAGGAGAGGAAAGGGAGGTGGTCGATAGAAGCCGGTACTCACATCCGTCTATCTCCTCCTGCAGGTCCTCCTGAAGCAGCGACAGATCTGGATTGGGGGGAAAGGGAGGGAAGGGAGGAAAGAGGAGGGGTGTTACATCAAAACAATACGGCAGAAGAATATAAGCTGCAGCTGAGGGAGGGAAGGGGCTTCCTTTCCCGGCCTCGCCCTCTTTGTCTCCGAGGGGCGTGAAGGCCTCACCTTTTTCCTCGCGCTGAGGGGGAATCGAAGGGCGAGGCCTACCGTGGGCCAAGGCGTCCCACAAGCCCTTCCTTCCTTCCCTCCTTTGTACACTACATGCATGTGTCCCCCCCCCCGCAACCGTGTCCCCGACGCAGGCGCGGAAAGAAGGAAAGAAGGGAAGCAGGAAGAGAAGGAAGGAAGGAAGGAGGCGCCCCTTCCTCAGGCCAGTCTCCTGTGAAGACTAGACTTCCCTCTTTTCCTGGTGCTTCTTTTGAGGAAAGAAGGAGGGAGGGAAGGGGAGAGGGAGGCGCGCGCAACCTACCCGCCATGTTTCTGGAGGCCTCCCCGCTTGGGATCGACCATCGAGGGGAGGCTGAGGCGGAGAGAGGCCTTCTAGGCCCAAGCGGCGCTTCCGGGCGTCCCCGGGAGAGTCTCCCGCGAAGGCAGGCGCCCGAGAGAGAGGGAGAGGCGGGCAGAGAGACAGGGAGGGAGGGGTTTGGGCCGGACACCAACGCCACTGCTGCTGCTGCCCCCGCCTTCGCCTCCGCCGGGGAGGGAACCAGGGCGAGCCCCGGCAGCCCGAAGGAAGAGAGGGAGGGACAGAGAGTGAGAGAGAGAGAGTAAAGAAAGGAAGGCAGGCCTCCGCGGGCCTCTCAAGGCCGGCTCTGCAGAGGAGTAGGAGCAATACCTTGCCCCCGCTTGCCACGCCAGGCCTCCTTTTGCTCTGTTCATTTCGCCACTGCTCTTTTGCCTGGCCCCGAAGTCTCCTCCTGGCACCGATTTTCCTACTTTGGTTGTTTAGTTTCTTCCTCTGTTCAACTACTTGACTTATGTGTCAAACTCAAGGTTGAATCACTGGGTTGCTGTAGATTTTTTCGGGTTATATGGCCATGTTCTGGAGGCATTCTCTCCTGACGTTTCGCCTGCATCTATGGCAAGCATCCTCAGAGGTAGTGAGGTCTCTTGAAACTAGGAAAATGGGTTTCTATATCTGTAGAATGACCAGAGTGGGACAAAGAACCCTTGTCTGCTGGAGCTAGGTGTGAATGTTACAACTGACCACCTTGATTAGCATCTGATGGCCTGGCAGTTTTTTGGTGTGGCATGCTAGTGCCTGAGGGAATTTTTTTGTTGAGAGCAGAGGAGTGCTTTTAGTGGGAAGATTCACCACCTGTTTCCAAAAAGGAATAGGACAGGTTAACATATCTAAAGCCTTCTCTGCAAAAGGGGTTCCTAAAACCATCAGAAATATATCTTTTCTGATGGTCTTTGGAGACCCCTCTGAAACCTCCTTGCAACCCCTCCAGGCCTCCTTCCCAGCTCCTGCCCTGAATTCAGATTTTTACATTCCTCTTCTGGCTTTTGCTCTGTTCATTTCACCACTGCTCTTTTGCCTGTCCCCGAAGTCTCCTCCTGGCACCGATTTTCCTACTTCGGTTGTTTAGTTTCTTCCTCTGTTCAACTATTTGACTTATGTGTCAAACTCAAGGTCAAATCACTGGATTGTTGTAGGTTTTTTCGGGCTATATGGCCATGTTCTGGAGGCTTTCTCTCCTGATGGTTCGCCTGCATCTATGGCAAGCATCCTCAGAGGTAGTGAGGTTGAATCCTTTTCCCCTGCCCTGTCATTTTTATGCTTGGGCAAACTGCAACTCCCGTGTTCCTCATCAGGACTAGAACTGATGAGCATTGTAGTACAGTCACATCCAGTTTGTTCTGTTTACTCAGGATAGGCAAAGGGAAAGGTTTCCCTTTGACATTAAGTCTAGTCAAATCCAAATCTCTGGAGTGGTGCTCATCTCCATTTCGAAGCTGAAGAGCCGGCATTGTCTGTAGACACCTCCAAAGTCATGTGGCCAGCATAACTGCATGGAGCACCGTTACCTTATTTATTTATTTACAGCTTTTATATTCCGCCCTTCTCATCCCGCAGGGGACTCAGGGCAGATTACAGTGTACACATATATGGCAAACATTCAATGCCAATTTTTTTACATACAAACATACACAGAGGCTATTTAACTTTTTCTCGCCGCCAGGGGAGCTGTCGCTTTCATCGTCCATCTGCGACACTGATGAAGCACTTCCACATTCCCCGCATGCTTCACCGCTGGAATGCTTTGCTGGAGTCTTCTTTTTATGGCCTCATAAATCAGTTAATTTTAGCTTCCCCACACTTTAAGGTGGTACCTAATTTTCCTACTTGACAGATGCAACTGTCTTTCGGGTTGCAAAGGTCAACAACAGGCTACACAATGGTTGGAAACCCACTCCAACCCGGACTGGCTTCGAACTCATGATCTTTTGGTCAGAGTGATCTTAATGCAGCTGACACTCAGCCAGCTGCACCACAATCCTGCGCCACAGAAGCGGTACTTACTGATGTAATGTACTCACCTTCGCATGTTTTCAAACTGTTAAGTTGGCAGATGCTGGGCCTGACAGCAGGAGCTCACTCACTCTCTGGATTTGAAACACCAAGCTTTCAGTCAGCAAGTTCAGCAGCTCAGTGGTTTAACCCACTGCGCCACCTTAGTTGGAATAATGGGGATTTAATTTAAATCAGGCAAACTTCGGCCCTCCAGGTGTTTTGGACTTCAACTCCCACAAATTCCTAACAGTCGAAGTTTGCCCATGCCTGCTCTATAAGCTAGGTCGCATTACACCCACCCACCCCCAAGAAGGATGGATGGTATCCTTGAAGTGACTGGCTTGACTCTGGAGGAGCTGGGGATGGAGACGGCCAACAGGGAGCTCTGGCTTGGGCTGGTCCATGAGGTCATGAAGAGTCGGAAGCGACTGAATGAATAAACAACAATTACATCCCCCCCCCCCCCAACCGTGAGAGAAATAAGATTGAATACTGTGAAAGCTACCCACTTGCATGGCTATTAGCCTCCTCCTAGTAGACTCAAATCAAAGGAAAGTTTCTTGAYAACCACCACTCCTCTTGGCATCCCCGCAGCAACAGCAGGAGTATCCCTCTGGGCAACTAAACCAGGAAATCCCAACTGGATGGCCCCCATGAGGGTCTTCCTCCAGGGACAAACCAAGAATGGGGCAACTTGGAAGTCCCTGAACAGATTCAGAAGTGGTGTTGGGAGAACAGAAGACAACCTGGCAAAATGGCATGAACTAGAACAGTGGTTTTCAACTTGTGGGTCCCCAGATGTTTTGGCCTACAACTCCCAGAAATCCCAGCCAGTTTACCAGCTGTTTGGATTTCTGGGAGTTGAAAGCCAAAACATCTGGCGACCCACAGATTGAGAACCACTGATCTAGAAGAATCCTCCACCTTGTGCTACTGTGGAGCAGAACAAACAACTCAGCATCTGTATGCTTGCCCACAATGCCCTGCCTCATGCACAGAGGAAGAACTGTTTAAAGCCGTAATTCCCAACCTTTTTTTCACCAGGGCCCACTTAGACCAGGGACCACTTTCCAACATCAATACCAAAAGGGTTATGATCAGTTTTTGGTCAACTTTAGATTCAGTTTGGTTATTTGAGGTGCTGATTCAGAAAATTGCATTGGATAGACCGCATTGTATCTAGTTTCTTATACCAAACAAATACCATCCAGTAGTTGCCATCTGCTCGCTCACAGAAAACCATATTTAATAATCTACAGCTGATGTGGTCGTAGTAATCTTTTGTGGGTAATCAGCCTCTCCCCTCCTGACATCCCTGTTGCCTTGGCACTATAAGAGGATTTCGTGAGACCAGTCACTCTCGTTGCTGCGTGGTTTTGAGGCAACTGCGTAGTAATGTGAAGCCGCGGACCATATTCTCATTCACTGATGGTCCATAGACCACAGATTGGGAACTGCTGGTTTAAAGCTATAGACAATGCAGTTACTGTTGCCTATTTTTGGTCTAAAATTACTTAGCTGCTTGTGTTCCCTCTGTTTTGGTGATTCTCAATCTGTGGGTCTTCAGATGTTTTGGCTTTCAACTCCCAGAAATCCTAACCGCTGGTAAATTGGTTGGAGTTGTAAGCCAAAACACCTGGGGACCCGCAGGTTGCGAGCCACTCCTCTATTTTATCAGTTTTATACTTGTTTGTTTATGCAATACTTTTGACACAAAATAAGCAAACCTTTTCCCCAACCTCAGAGCCACAAATTCTGTTGGGTTGCCATTCCGCTTATAGGCAGTCCTCAAGTTACAAACCTCTGACTTACAAATGACAACAGGAAATGAGAGGCATCTATCCCTCTAAAGGGAAATTTACTCCTGAAAGAGTTATCATGGGGAAAAGATGTCTTCACTGAAACTTTGTCACCAATCCTTTCATCCACAACAAGCCAAATTTTTCAAAATCCAATTATCACAGGGACAGAAGTTGAGGTGAAATCTTCTGAACAGTGGCACAGACAACAAAACAAACACCATAGGAGTGCTAATCCTTCCCTATGCTAGCCAAAGATAGATAGGCTGGAGTTACACTTAAAAATGTACCTGTTCCAACTTACAAACAAATTCAATTTAAGAACAAGCCTAGAGAATCTATTTGTTCATAGCTAGGGGACTGCCTGTATTCCCAATCCGCAAGGCAGATAATCAAAAGCAATGGGAGTTGTCATTCAATAACATCTGAGTATCCAAATCGGATCAAAGATAAAGAACATATCTCCTGTTACGAACCATCACGAAGTTTAAGATCACCAGGAGAGGCCCTGCTCGCAAATGTGATTGGTGGGGACGAGGGACAGGCCCTTCTCAGCAGTGGCCCCTCACCTGTGGAATTCCCTCCCCAGGGACATCAGATTGGCCACCTCCCTCCTGTCCTTTAGAAGGAGACTCAAGACTTGGTTGTGGGACCCAGCGTTTGATCATTGAATAGCGGCAAGTGAGAAGAAGACATAAGCAATTTGAAGTGACAATAAACTGACCCGGACTTTGTTTTTAACTGGCATGTTTTTAACAACTGTTTAATGTTGCTTTAATGAATTTGTTGAATGTTTTTATGATTGTGATGGCACTGATGAATCCTACGAGTTGTAGGTTTACAAAGTCTTTAGCCTTCTTGGCCAAAGAGTACTCGTGCCTCACCAAACTACAAATCCTAGTATTCCATAGCATTGAGCCATGTCAGTTAAAGTGGGGTCAAACTGCATTGATTGTACGGTGTAGAAACATCCCTTGAAGTCTCTCAGGCCCCATCTACACAAATTATTCAATGTAGTTCAAAGTTGGCTTCAAACTACAGCAGCCAAATTTTAAAATCTCTCCAAAGGCCTTAATGCGCATCAGTGGTTTGTATAATCACCATCCAGCCTCAAAACTGGTTCCAGGATTTCTTATGTAATTATCTGCACAGTGAAACCACTTCCTTCAGTACTGGTTTGAAAATGGTCAGTGTAGGTGTGCCCTCATTCATAAGGTTGCATAAGTTGATTTGAAGGCAGTTAACAACAACAAAAATGTTCCTTCTCACTAACACCCTTCTGTCCCCTACAGCAACCTTGCTTGATACTGTCCTGTTGTCTCTTAACTTCACCTTTGTTATTTCACTTCACGCTTAGAGGGCCACAGCAGCACCTTTTCACCAACTTTG